TGATTGATGAGAAGAGAGTAGAGGAGATGATGATTATGATGATGATGGTGATGATGATGATGATTGTGGAGATGATTATGATAATGGCCATTATCATCATCATCATCATCATCATCATCATCATCATCTCCATCATCATCTCCATCATCATCTCCATCATCATCATCATCATCATGATAATTCCTCACCAAGGTCAAGTTCTTGAAATGATGGTCGACATAGAACGACCTCGTGAAAGCGCTGACCTGTTGACTCTCCAATCTACCATCATCGTCCTCGTTACATCTTCATCGCCCCTGCCCACATCCTCCTCCTTACCGCAGACGGAGAGGGCGAGAAGGGTCAGCACGAACTAGGATGAATGTGAATGTAGCAATGCCCTCGTCGTCCGTACGAGCTGTCAGAGTTCTGATAGGTTCGAACTGACCTGGGCGACTAGATTGACGCGTCAGATATCAGGTGGTAGATGTAAATACAGTGACAGAAGCACCATCGTCTTCACGGACATCATCATCACGAATGCGATCATCATCATCATCTCCATCATCATCATCATCATCATCATCATCATCATCATCATCATCATCATCATCATCATCATCATCATCAACAACAACAACAACAACAACAACAACATTTCCACCAATATCTCTGTCATTACCAACAGCTGGAGAAAAATAAGCAGCAGCAGCAGCAGCAGCAGCAACCAATCATATCACAACACGCAAACAAAAGCTAAGGCCACACACAGGAATTTGCGTCGAAAACACAACAACGGTAATTACCCTCCAGGGTCTAAGGCAGCATAAGTTGCGTCGGGGAATATTGGATTCTCATCAATAGAACAAGTCATGATGAAATTGTTGACAATCGCACCACCAACTCCGTAAAGTTTCGCCGACACCACAAACGGTCGGAAAGTTGCAACTCTAGTAGATGGTTGTTGTATCACTTTGATTGCAAACAATGCTTGTGAGCTTGCAGACAATGGAGCTGAGATGTTTTGAGGAAGAGATGAGTTGTCGACGGTAAAGCTCCCATGCCCTTTGATGTTTTCTGAACGATCTGCCGAAAGAGATGGAAATGTGTTTTGCCGTGAAGAATACACGTCGGAAAATGCTCTTGCTTGCACTCGGTAAGTCCCAGCAAAACACGAAATTAGCTTCATTCCTTTCAGATGGAAGGTCGAAGAAAGCGAAAGAGCACTTGGCGTGTCAATTTGAGATTGTGCATTCTGATCTCCTTCAAGGAAACATGTTTCTGTTGAGTTATCTCCATCTGCCATGAGTGCAAACTGTAAGAATGGAGCTTTCCATTTCTCAACTCCCCTTGTCGAGCTTGTTTGCACGATTTGCAATTGCACTTTCAACATGACATCACCTTGCAACAAACTGCCAACAGCAACAAGAGGTTCAGGATTGTCCAAGAAACGAACCTGCCCTGGGATCACAGAGAACGTCGATCTTCCTGGTACGCACAACAACGGATCTCCATCGGCAACGATACAGTATGACAACCTGAACAAACTTGCGCTGTCTGTTTCGTAAGCAACCCAGTCAATTCCCATGTATGCTGAGAACACAAGCCTGCCGGTCAAGTTTGACATGGTACTCCAATCCTCCCGCAAGAGAGCTTGTCTTGACTGCGTCCATCCCGCAGCCTCCAACTTCTCTACCCGAGCTTGCAAGGTCAGCGCCGCCATGGGCTGTCCGAGAAGATCGTTGACTTGAACAAGAGGAGGGAAGGGGAAGCTGCTTCCTACGGAAATGTTGTTGTCCTTGTCCTGGTTGAACGGTTCTCTCAGCACTGTTACGAGCTGCTGCTGGGACTGAAGGCTGCACAACGATCCTGAAGACTTGTCGAAGAGGAAGAGAACGGAGAAGAGGTCAAGGCCAGCGAGAGAAGAGGAGCAGGACGGGACGGGGATGGCGGGGAGAGCAGTGAACTTGACGCAGCCTCTGTTGTTCTCGAGGCAGAGGTAGTAGGTGCCGAAGAAAGAAGCGTCGGTTGTGAAAGAAATCCGTGAGAATCCTTGTGAGAAGATGGGTCAGAGCTTTTTCCTCTCCCCCTCAGGGGCGAGCATGGATGACAAGCGCATCACGTCCGGTCGCATTCGATCCTATCTGTCCTGCTCTCCCCGCTCACAACGCAGCGTGCAGTTGTTACACAGGATGAGATATCAGCGCACTCTATCCCTGTGACCGAACGCGACGCTACCGAGGATGAGGTGTACCTCTCCCTCCTGCACGCTCCAGAGCCTCTGAGCCCTATGGACAGGACATGGAGAGCAAGCCTTTGGAGGAATACGAGCCTGTTGTCTACAGGGGGTAGGGGATGAAGCTGATATCAAGCAAGAAACGCACGTTGCTCACTCTTCCACTTCATCTCAGTTTGGCGTCCGGGTGGCCTGCGCTGAGACGATGGGATTTCGATTACTTCGCTTCAGGGAGAGTTGGGGAGACTACAGTTACGGTAAATGTCTGCACGGACAATGACAGTTGTAGTGAAAACTGCATGAAGGTTACAGGAAGAGAAGGGAAAAAACCGGCCATGATGCTGAA